GCCCTTTTTGTCAAACGAAAGTTGAACATTCTCATCGTAACAGTCTTCGTAGGTGGCGCGGGAATGGCTCTCGGGATGGCAGCATTTTCCTTCTACAATGTCATTCAGGAACTGAGGTGGTCCCTTTCCCAATCGAAGGCCGTTCATGTAATAACCAGCAGGACACAGCGCCCACACATTCTTTCTGGAGGAGGGTAAATGAAATCGACGATCATTTCCAAGGAATAGAATTACTTATGACATTAAAGTATAATTTGTTCTCCATTCTGTAGTGAACAAAAGTTCGTCTCATCTTCTCCTTCAATTGTATACAAACTTGCAATGGCACAGGAACTGTGTGTGGATAGACGGACGGATAGACAGACCAGAAAATGGTGTCGACTTTAGGACTAAATTTTCTCTGCTTCAATGGTTTTATCTCATCTTACTCATAGAGCTACTTTGGAGTCTAATGTGGTCCTTTTGTCTGTGGAAAGTAACCACTAAACAGGGGCGTAGCCAGGATTTTTCAAAGGGGGGTCACAGAGGCTACTCACTATTTACACCGCTGCTCTCCCGCGTGTATCAGTGGGCTCAGTCGTATTATATCGGCATGAAGGCCAATATCAATGGCTTTTACGGCCAAGATATTGTCTTGGCGTTTTCGCCACCTGAATATTGTAGGTTGTTTGCTCTAAAGAAGACCTACCAAGGGGGGGGGGTCACGGGCATCCCAGGACCCCCCTGGCTACGCCCTTGCTAAATGAGTTTACAACTCACCCTTTCAACACCGCCGACCAGTCCGCATTTGAGCAACTTGACGGCTCCTCTAATGGTTTGCTTCCTACACTTGCCTGGCAGCATTTTCCCATTTCGATTCGACCAGTTCTTTCATCTCCAGATCTGAAATCATTTCTCCACAGCCCCTTGAGGTAGGTATTACTTTTTGGGCACACAGACCATCCTATACGGTCGAGGCTAGACCACCAGTTTGCGTTCTGACAGGTCTGACTTGAGACAACATCGAATATCAGCAGCAGGCTGATAAGTGGAAAGGCAAGTACAAAATGCATCCTAATATAAGATAAGAACAAGAACAGAACAATAAAACAACCACTGAACTGCTGTTTTGTAAGTAGGTGATTGCAGTATAATGCTCCCCACGAAAGGAAAGGTATTTTCGATTGAAAACCTTTAAAAAGCGTACTTCTCGCAAGTGAGAAGTACGTTAATCTGAGCCCTGCACAGGCCTTCGAGGAGAAGTGTCCGGTATGATGCACGAAACAGGCTAAAACCTTCTACAATTCAGACTTTTTATGGAAAAGAAGAAATAACTGAAGAATCTTAAGATGTGATCTGAAAAAGAGAAATGCCGGACCTCAATGAAATCTTGGAGTTTTCAATTTAATTCGAACACCCATCCTCTTATCCTTTTGTCAAGCATAATTGTACAAAATGTTAGACCCAAGATTTTCAGGGACAAGTGCGTTTAGAAAAGCGACAGTATAGCGTGAAATAACTACGAAAACATTTTGAATGAATGAATGGAAAGTATTTCGATTTTCTCTCACCTTTTTTGCAAAAGTAGCCAAATTTTCTCAGGAACGCCAAGGAACGGAAGAGAGTCAAGGAACGGCCTAGGAACGGAAGAGAGTCCTTCCCTCTCTGCCTCACACTCCAAACTGCTTGGTAAGGGTTGAGTATCGAGCTATCATCTCCGTCACTAGCAGGCGGTATGCGTCTCATTTTTTCTGAAACAAGAACGTTTCCAAGCAATGTGGCATGAGTATCATTTTAAGCTTATAAATCATTATGTTAGGCTCAGGGCATCTGATTCTTTTTGTGGTTAAAAAGTCAATAAAGCCATTTGGTGTTTTATCGGGATGAGTTTTGCGAAAATTTTAACAATGGCATTTGAATGTTTACATTGCTAAAAAGTCACATATAGAGTGGATAATTAATCTTTTTCAGCTCGAAATTAATACGACAAGATAAATATACATCTATATAAGAAAATGAAAAATGAATCCAGTAGTTTGTGCTTGCTCAGGTCATAAAAATAAAATAAAAAAAAGACATAATCTTACTTCAGAGGTATAGCGGGAAACGTTTTCTCCTTCTCGAAACCAATAAGTGGTAGAACAAACCAATTTAATTTTCATTTGTTTTGACATTTTTACTCAAATATATGTAATGATATTATTGCAGATATTGTCAACATTGGTGATTAGTTACCTATTGTTGATAATATCATTTATTTGATCATAATTTATATTCTTTATTAGTTGGCATTTTCAAGTCACGTATCTTTTAACTGATGTAGGGCACTTAGTTGGCGATCAACTATCTGGATTTTGATATAACGAAGAGATGCTTTTCACTACAAATGGAAGGCATTTCCTCTTTTTGTGCATTATTAATTAGTGTAACCTAATGATCGACACTTCAAAAAGTTAGAAGAACGTTTTAATTTTTTACCTAGAATGTAATATTTGCTTTCAATCTTTCTTTTCTTTTTACTATTTATTCATGCACTGTTAAAGAAAAAAGGAGTCATCGAGGTGGTAAAACTCGATGGCCTGCTGACTGATGGTAGGGTCGGTACGAGTCATATTGGGCGACCGTAAATATCCCGCCTCCTTGGAGAATCTCCCAGTCGTACGTCAATATCATCATTTACTTGACATTTTTCGATCTTAGTGAAATAATGGGAAATGAGTGTGGCAAAGAACCTTTTCGGGGAAAACCGTTCTCTTCTGTTCAGTACACCCTCACTTTAACCTCTTCTCATTCGAAATAAAATGTATCGCCAGTTTTTGACTCGTCAAACCTCAAAGATAACTTCCCTGACAAATTCAATGTGTTTTTTTTAATGTCAACACTAGTGTAAAAAATGAAAACAACTCACTGGGAAGGTACATACTTAGTATGGGGGATCTGTTTCACGTAGCTTTACATGATTCCTCTGTAAGGTGTGATATGGTGACGATGTCACTAGAAGCTAGTAACCAACATTTTCTTTAGAGCAGAGCTAAGT